TATGTATATTCAGGTCCGCTCGGAATGGTCGCCGGTCCATTCTGGGTTCTAGTGGCCTTAGTCTGCCCACTAGAGTGTGCACATGGCGTACGGCTTTGCCGGCAGATGTTCAGGTTCAGTTCAGATGTGACTTCTGTCGCGACGTGACTTCGGTTGCGAGATTCAGTTATCAGTTACGTGACTTCGGTCGCGAGATCAGACCGGTTTTATCGGATATCAGTTTCAGTTCAGTTGTATATACTCAGTTCATGATCATGTTATTATTTACGATGTATTACATTAGCATGAGTTTCTGCGGAGCACAGTGCCTTAGTGCTCACGCCCCACATTTTCATGATTTTCAGGTCGCAGGGTCGGGGACGAGGAGTGAGCGGGCGAGCTGTTCAGGATATTTTGTGTTTGATGTATTTGATGTTGAACGATAAAACTTTTCAGAACTTTTTTTATCAGACTTTTATGATTTTGCCACGCTAGACTTCCGCTAAAACTTTCAGACTTTGCTCCGACGTTAGTCGGATAATAAATTATAACCGTTTTATGTATCAGTTTTAAATTCTAACGGTTTTCAGAAGTTATGTTTTCACGGTAACCCCCGAATCAGTTTCGCAAATTAAGAGGTTAGTTTATTTATTTATTTATTCAGAAAATTTGCGAAAAACCGCGTACTCTGATGTATTAGAGAGTCGGGGTGTTACATCAGCACTACCTGCATTTTCAGCAGTTCAGGTGGGGACTCAGACTAAGTACTACAATGATTATAATATCGCTACCATGTTTGAGGTATGTATATTCAGTATCCGCTCGGAATGGTCGCCCGTCCATTCTGGGTTCTAGTGGCCCTAATCTGCCCACTAGAGTGTGCACATGGTGTCCGGTATTAGTTTGTGCCGGCAGATGTTCAGTTTCAGACACGTGACTTATGTCACGAGATAAGTATCAGATTATTCAGACCGGTATCAGATATCAGTTTCAGTTCAGTTATATACCAGGATCATGATATTGTTATTATTTTCACTGTTTTACTTTAGTATGGGTTTCCACGGAGCACAGTGTTTTAGTGCTCACATCCCACATATTTCATGTTTTTCAGGTCACGGAGTCGGGGACGAGGAGTGAGTTGACGAGCTGTTCAGGACATTTGTTTTGTTATGTATACACTATGTTTTGGCCACACTACATTTCCGCTAAATCTTTCAGTACTTAAACTCAGTTTGGGTCCGACACTAGTCGGTTAAAATATTATATAACCATTTTTATTATAAGTTTAAAAATTAACAGTTTTCAGTCAGATTTTCACGGTAGCACCCCGAATCAGTTTTCACAAAATAAATATTTTATTAAATTATTTAAAAAAATTTGTGAAAAATGCGTACTCTGATTTCAGTAAAATAGCGGGGTGTTACAATTGGTATCAGAGCACGTTTCTGCGTCTCTGAAAAGTTTTATAAGTCAGAAATTTGCAGAAAAATCTGAACCGTCATACTCACTCCTCGCCGACTACAGGTAAGTGCTGATTTATGTTTTAAGTTATAAACATGTTACTATTGCCTATGCTCAGAAATTATTAATCAGGACTTAGTTAAGATGCTCGAATCAGGATCAGACTTTAGAACTTAGAGTACTCAGATATAACTCTAGACATTTTCAGGATCTATTTCAGTATTTTCCAGCCATTTTTGGCAACTCGTCAAGAGATCTGTGTACTTTAGAAATCAGTCAGAATATTTTTCATGTGTTAAATAATTCGAACTTTTTCAATGTTCAGATGCCACCCCGTAGGGAACCCGATCACCCAGTTCTTCCTCAGGCCACGGTGGTCGCACAATTTCGCGACTATCACCCTGAGAAATTCTCCGGGCAGGGAGACCCCCGTATCATGGACGAGTGGATTCAGGGACTTGAGTTTATTTTCGAGGTCATGGATTGTCCAGACAGATATCGCGTAATCTGCGCTCAGCTTCAGCTAACCGGTGATGCCCGGCTCTGGTAGAATGCCTACTGGAGTATGCGTCCCGGCGAGAAGGCGGGATGTACATGGGATATGCTCAAGGAGCTGATCCGCAAGAAGTACTACCCCAACTACTACAGAGCAAAGATGGAGCGTCAGTTCCTGTCGCTCAAACAGGGTACTCGTTCTGTTGACGAGTACGAAAGAGAATTTACCAGACTTGCACCTTTTGTTCCTGACTTGGTTCGTACGGAGGCCCAAAGAGCACAGCGCTTCATTGACGGACTTTACCCAGCAGTCCGTCATAATATTGTAGGTCACGGGACTCAGACGTACGCTCGTGCAGTTTCCATTGCCCAGGAGATGGACGCCAGCATCAGGAGGGAGGCCATCCATGATCATCCTCAGCCATTCTCTCCCGCCCAGTCATCTACAGCTCCACAAGCTCTACCAGCTGCCCAGCAGACGAAGGAGAAGAAGAGGAAGGGGAAGGGCGCACAGACCGATCGGAGGACCCGACAGAGGTAGCAGCAGGTTCCACAATGCCCCACATGCGGACGTTTTCACCGAGGCGAGTGTCGCTTAGGCCAGGATATATGCTACTACTGTCACGAGCCCAGACACTTTGCTAATCGTTGTCCGAAGAAAGCACAGCAGCCCCAGCAGCAGCAGCAGCCCCGTCACCAGGCTCAGAGGCCACCACAGCAGCAACAGAGGGGCAGATAGCAGGCCCGAGTCTACCCAGTCGATCAAGTTGAGGCCAAGCAGCAGCCAGGTACTATGTCAGGGATGATCATGCTTAATAATGTTCCTGTGTTCGCTTTATTCGATACCGGAGCGACGCACTCCTTTATTTCACAACGATGTCTTGATGCCATCGGAGTTCATACCTTTACCGCTGTCGATCCTCTCGAGGTGAGTTTAGCCTAGGGACGAAAGATAGTGACTTCAGCTAAAGCCTCAGATCTCAGCCTCTCCATCAGTGGTCGTTCACTGTCTGCCGACGCATATGTTCTTGAGATGAGGGACTTTGACCTCATTCTCGGGATGGATTGGCTATCCTTTTATCATGCAGATATCAGATGTCATGACCGGGAGATTACTCTCTATCTTCCGGGAGACGATTCGATTACCTTCTTTGGCAGCAAGAATCGTTCATTATCCCAGGTCGTTTCCATGGCGAAAGCTACCAAGTTGCTGCGACGAGGCAACTACCAGGGTTATCTGGTGGGCCTTGTCGATGATTCCCAGAAAGCACGATCACCTCACAATGTTCCAGTTGTTCGTGAGTTTGTGGACGTGTTCTCAGACGAGCTTCTAGGAGGACCGCCTAACTGGCAGGTGGAGTTCTCTATCGATATCATTCCAGGAGCCGGTCCAGTATCCAAAGGCCCATACCGTATGGCGCCGAAGGAGTTGCAGGAGCTTAAGGCGCAGATTCAAGAGTTTTTACGACTCGGTTTCATCCGACTGAGCGTGTCACCTTGGGAAGCACCCGTTCTCTTTGTTAAGAAGAAGTACGGATCCATGCGCATGTGTATCGACTATCGGGATCTTAACCGGTTGACGATCAAGAACAAGTATCCGCTTCCCAGGATCGACGACTTATTTGATCAGTTGAGGGGAGCCTGTGTGTTCTCAAAGATTGATTTACGATCAGGCTACCACCAGCTGAAGATTAAGGAGTCAGATATCGCTAAGACCGCTTTAAGGACTCGTTACGGCCGTTACGAATTCGTTGTCATGCCATTCGGCCTCAGCAATGCTCCAGCGGTTTTCATGGACCTGATGAACCGTATTTTCCATCCCTACCTCGATCAGTTTGTTATTGTCTTTATTGACGATATTCTTATCTACTCGAAGAGCCAGAAGGAGCACGAGGAGCATCTGAGGGTGGTTCTCGAAACCCTCAGACGAGAAAAGTTGTACGCCAAATTCTCCAAATGCGAATTCTGGCTCCAGCGAGTAGCTTTTCTGGGTCATGTGATTACTCAGGCAGGTATCGAGGTGGATCCTTCTAAGGTCTCAGCTGTTCAGAACTTTTCGACACCGAAGAGTTCGTCCGAGGTTCGCAGTTTTCTCGGTTTAGCTGGCTATTATCGCCGGTTCATCGAGGGCTTTTCTAAGATTGCTCTCCCACTATCCCAGCTGACGAGGAAGTCTGTGAAGTTCGAGTGGACTGATCGTTGTGAGGCGAGTTTTTAGGAGCTCAAGAGGAGATTAACTTCAGCCCCGGTATTGACTATTCCCGATCCTTCTCGGAGTTTCACCATTTTCAGTGATGCTTCGAAGCAGGGACTGGGATGTGTACTCATGCAGGACGGCCAGGTCGTTGCTTATGCGTCACGCCAGCTTAAGCCACACGAACAGAGCTATCCGACGCACGACTTGGAGTTAGCCGCCATTGTTCATGCTCTCAAGATCTGGCGACATTATCTTTACGGCGGACGTTGCGAGATTTTCACAGATCATAAGAGCCTGCAGTACATTTTCACACAGAAGGAGCTTAACATGAGACAACGCCGTTGGCTCGAGCTCGTCAAGGATTACGATTGCTCGATTCAGTATCATCCGGGGAAGGCGAACGTCGTTGCTGACGCCCTAAGCCAAAAGGTGAAGGGTGACTTGACGTACGTCATTACTCAGCAGAGTCCGTTGATTCAGGAGTTCGCCCGGATGCAAATTCAGGCGGTAGATGCACTTTCCACAGCCATTTCGGGGAGTGGCAGTGCCAGTATCAATGCCATACAGATTCAGCCGACGCTGAGAGAGAGAATCCGGCGGGAGCAGGCTTCTGACGAGTTCGTTCGAGTCATGGAGGCCAAAGTCCGCGCCGGAGGCGTCGAGGGTTTTCAGCTAGGTGCCGACGGTGCCTTAGAGTTCAGAGGCAGGATCGTGGTCCCGAAAGTTGAGGCGTTGCGGAAGGAGATATTGTCAGAGGCTCATATCGCACCTTATTTAGCCCATCCCGGGAGGACGAAGATGTATCATGACCTGAAAGGGTCGTTCTGGTGGCGCGGAATGAAGAAGGATGTCGCTGAGTTCGTTAGGAGATGTTTTACCTGTCAGCAAGTAAAAGCCGAACATCAGAGTCCGATCGGCCTCCTGCAACCACTGCTGATTCTAAGGTGGAAGTGGGAGGAAGTCACGATGGATTTCGTTACGGGATTACCGAGGTCGTCTGAACATCACGACGCTATTTGGGTCGTGGTCGACAGATTGACTAAGGTCCTTGCCCGTTTCGATGAAGATGTCTTTGGATAAGTTGGCTGAGATATATACCCGTGGGATCATCCGACTCCACGGAGTGCCCGTTACTATCGTATTAGACAGAGATCCCAAATTCGTCAGTAGATTCTGGCACAGTTTACACGAGGCGATGGCACGAAGCTTGAGTTCAGTTCAGCCTACCATCCGGAGACAGATGGTCAGTCCGAGAGGACCATTCAGACTCTTGAGGATATGCTTCGTGCTTTGGTTGTTGACGAGGGTGCTAAGTGGGAGTCGTTGTTGCCGTACGCCGAGTTCGCGTACAACAACAGTTATCATTCTTCTATTCAGATTGCTCCTTACGAGGCACTTTACGGTCGTAAGTGTCGTTCCCCTCTCTATTGGGACGACGTCGGAGAGCGACGAGTACTCGGTCCGAAGATGATCGAGGGGATGGCAGAACAGGTCGAGTTGATCCGGCAGAGACTCAAGACAGCTCAGAGTCGATAGAAATCTTCAGTCGATCATCATCGACGAGACATTCAGTTCGAGGTGGGCGAGCCAACTTTTCTTAAAGTTCGTCCTATTCGCGGAGTTGTTCGATTCGGGAAGAGAGGGAAGTTGTACCCTCGATTCATTGGCCCGTTTGAGGTTCTCGAGCGAGTAGGCGAAGTCGCATATCGATTAGCCCTACCTCCCGAGCTATCAGGAATTCATAATGTTTTCCACGCATCTATGTTGCGTAAGCACGTGTGCGACCCCGATCATGTTATTCCTCATTCAGATATTCAGGTTCAGCCAGACTTATCGTACGAGGAGCGACCGGTAGCTGTACTAGACCGTCAGGTTCGTCGGCTCCGGAAGCGAGATGTTCCCCTCGTGCGTATTCAATGGGATCGTCACGGAGCTACTTGGGAGGCAGAGGCCGATATTCGAGCTCGTTTTCCAGATTTTCAGTTTTGATGTACATATTTTCTTGCTCCATGTACATAATTCATGTATATTCAGTTATGTTTTGAATTTTCGAGGACGGAAATTTTAAGGAGGGAGGATTGTAATATCCCGTCAGTTTATTAATATAAATCATGTTTTAGTTCCGATATAATAACGTTGTCGATTATTATTTTCGGAATTAATTATTTTCAGTCGAAATTACCGAAATTATTTTCGACGTTCCGTTTACCTTCAGAATAATTTGGTAATTAAGTGTTATGTCTAATTAAATAATTAAGCATTTAATTATGCTTAATTAGTTAATTAATCATGCTTCATTTGTTAATGCCGTAACATTAACTTTAATTTTACTCCAAATCTTAATAAAAGCCGTATGTAATTAGTGGGGAAACCATTCCTTCATCTTAAGTGGAGACGTGGCATTATTTGAGTTCATGAGGTCATTAGTCACCTTAAGATTGTTTAATCTTATTACAAGTGTCTTAGTCTTAAGAGATTAAACAACACCACCTCCTCTTTGGTTCGGTTTATATATATGGAAGAGTTGGGGAATTTTCTCCTCATTTGCAGCCATATATATTTCCTTCTTCAGCCTATATTAGATATACTTTTTTTTATAGTAGAGAGAGTAGAGAGGTTAAGTAATTTCCTAAGTTAGCACGCAAGTACTCACGCCCGAGCTTACCACGAGTACCGCACAGCGATGCAACGCACGCGGAGAGCCACGCACGAACACGGGAGTCCGAGGAAGTGCTGTCAATCGAGCATAATCGGAAGTAATTTCCGTGTGATTATATGCTGAG